TTGACTTGCTTATTTCTGTATAATGAGAATATTATATGCTTCTTTCACTATATCTGATTATGAGATTAAGTATTTCTATTCTGCTCTCAACTCAGGTATAAGATCATGAATAAAGATCTGTAAATAGAAAGATGTTGAAAGCTTTTCATTTAATGTAAGATAGTGTAAGCTGAAGTATGTAAAGTATAATATAAGATTATTCACTTATCTACACTCAGTGAAGTATTTGTAACACTTGTCTTATACATTCACTTTCTCAAAGTTATACAAGATTCATTTGAAAAACTCATTTCATGTTTATAAGAATGAATATCACTTCAGATCTGTGAGATTCATCTTTTCATCAGTTATTTATAATGACTTCACTTTTCTGTGTAGAAATGTAGCAGATCTTAGAACTTGTTGAAATTTTATTAACTGTCTGTCTGTGAGTTCATATTTAATCTGATAATATAATAATATCTGACTTAGCTAGCTGATTATAGTATCATTTTTTTAATTGTCATTGAAGCTTGATCACTTCAGCAGATCTTCTGACTTGATATATAACATACTCAGATTCTCATTCAGCACTTATTATTATTATTATTATTCTTCCATTATACTCATATGCAAGCGGAGCTTATGATGAGTCCTTGCGTGATGTTAAATACAGATCAAGTGTTGGTTATACAGGAGGAAATACAGGTGTTGAGACCACGCCAAGATAACAAGAACATAGGAAAATACAAAGAAGTGACAATTAGATACATGCGATAATAACTTCCCAGCCCAGGAACATAGAGCAATTCATTGGAGCGATTTGTACACCTCTGTATTTATTAGAAACCTGAGGTGCTTGAGTTCTGGATTTAATGTATCCCCTGCGGTTTCGAACCCACGCGCCTTGGTTTCCCACGCCAAGGTGCTACCGGGTGGCCGCATTAAGCATTCAGCCACCGGGGCTCTCATTCAGCACAGTGATCTCAGATAATGTGTATACTTCTGAAGAGATTGTGAATGATTGTGATAAGATCTTCAGATTCAGTGTGATTATCTATCTGTGTAAACATTTGATCTTCTGCTGCAGGTCTAAGACCTAGTTTTCTCTATTCTTATTAATGATGATAATTGCATCAGTGAAGCTCTTCATCATAAATGCTTGATCTGCAGTGAATGTCAATTATTGTTTGACTTTTATCTCAGTCTGTCACTGTGTACACAAGGCCTCAATTTTGTTTAGAAGTCTTGTATATATACAGAGCTTTGATTCTGATTCAGCAGTTTCAGCTGCTTTTCCCTCTTTCTTTAGCAAACTCTCTGAGAGGTTCTGCATATCTTTCAGTTCAGATAGCAGAGAAGAATGTTTGTATTAACTAGAGAAGATATTCATTTCAGTAGTTTCTTGTTAATTATATAATGTCTATCATTATATTGCTATATCATTATATCACTATATTGTTATATGATTTCTGTTATCATTATACAACTTCAGTGATGATCATCAATCTTTTTATTCTTCTTTTGAGTAGAGAGTAGACTTCTTTGAATCTGGTTCACTACTCTTATTTTCTTTCTCATATCTCATCTATTCACATTCTATACATGGCATTTGTCTGAGCATGAAGTTTTCTCTCAATAAGTAAAGCAGTATTAATTGAATACTCTTTCACTCACTGCTCTTCATATGCTATCTTTTGAGATATTTTTAGAACCACACTGGCATGATAACTATGAATCACTTTGTAGATGAAATTATCACACTCTGAAGAAGTCTGTGCTTCTCACCAGTTTTTAGACATGCTATCAGATGTGATTCAAAGATTGCTTGAGTCAGCATACAATTACAGGCGTACGCCGGCTTCTTATATACTGTACACTAAATTAATTGGTGGCTGCTATGGCCTCTTTACATTCGTAAGCAAGTTCGGAAGCGGCCGCGTTATTATCCGGCGGTCGTACGTTCTTCCGAACCACATTGAGATAGCAGATTTAGAGATAGCAGATTTAGAGACAGCAGATTCAGCTGCTTGAGCATATGTTTTCTTCTGATTTAAAGAAGAAGAAGAAGAAGTAGAAAAAGAAGAAGAGTAAACTGAAGAGTCAGTAATTGTATTAGAAATTTTCAATGTTTTTAAAACTATGTTTGAAATTCCAAGTTTAAACTTGATCACTTTCTGTAGTTGTCTAGTCTGAGTATGAAGAATTAACAGAACTTCTTTATTTATCTCACTCAGATACTGCTTTTCAAGAATCTTGCTTACTTTTTCAAGTTTCTGTATTTCAAGAACTTATTATTTCTCTGTTTCTTCTTTCTTTCTTCTCTTCAGAATTTCAATCTCAGGAATAGCATTTGAGAAAGCATCTTTATTCACATTAACTATGTGTATTTTTAAACTCATTATTCTTACTTAATGAAAAGATGATCAGATCAATTCAATTGAGATATTTATTAAACTCTTTTGAATGAAAAGATTAGTCAGACTGTTTTAATTAAGAGATTTCTAAGTCTGTTTTTAATTGAACAGTTGATCAGACAGTTTCATAAGAAGAATAAAAGACTTTTGTATATAAAACACCTGATTTTTTTCACACTAGTTCAGTAACTAGGTTAGATTTTTAAAGAGAATCTAATAAACTAAAATTGATTTTTAAGATAAATTAATAAAATCTTTACAATCTCTTTCTTAGAATACAGTGAGAAAAAGTATGATATCAATTAATAATAAATCAGATAATATAACAGTTTTTGAGAGAAAAACTAATAAAAAATAAATCAATTTTTTACAGAGAAATTGATTAACATTATTCAATTTTATTCTAAATTATTCAATTCTTCTCACATAATAAGTGTGCAACTCAAATCAGTTAATAAAAAGTGTAAAAAAGAATTAAGTATTAATAAAAGCTCTTCAGTCACTGGAAAAGTAATTCTTACTTAAAAGAATGTGAAATTATAATAGAAAATAACTCTGTTTTTAATTCTTTATAAGAATATTGTATAAAACTCAGAGAAAAACATCTTACTTTTTCAAGAGAAGTAAAAAACTATTTCTAAGATCTTTTTTTTTGCATTAACTGCTGCAGAAGAATGAGATAGAAACTACTAAGATATACACTACTGTATATTCTCTCTCAAGACTTTCTCTCTTCAGAGTCTTGATATTATAGAGATTATAAGTCTGTTTCTATATAATAATATAAATATTATCAGCAGGATATAGAGAAACTGATTATTTATATCTCAAGATAGAAGACTTTGTCAATGATTATATTAATATATAGTTAATTCTCAAATTCAATAGAAATTTAGTATTACTCTTCTTAATCCCTTACAGAATCTATTAAATATGAAGATATTAAAACTAGATTTAATATATCTCACTGTGCAGGGATCAAAGGCTCAGTCAGACCTTGAGATATACTGATTTTATAGTTGTCATATCTGCTGATTATGTATTGAATACAGTTGCCAAGGTATCTTTTTGTATTTTTCTGCCGGGGTTGGGCCAGATTGAAAGGGGCGGTACAAGGGTGAGACTTGGCGTTGATGTCTTGATACACCAAAGATAGACAGGGTTTTCGTGGAGAATGCACTTCAGATGTGTCTGTTGATTATGTGCTTGATACTATTGCTGAGGTATCTTTTTGTATTTTTCCGCCAGAGGTGGGCCAGATTGAGAAGGGCGGTACGTGGGTGGGACTTGGTGTTGATGTTTTAGAACATCAAAGATAGACAGGGTTTTCGCGGAAGTTGCTTCTCAGATATTTCCACAATTACAGATCAGGGATCTTTCAAAATTGAGAAGATTGATGCATATGACTAGGTCTCCTCGCCTTACAATTTGTATGGCAATTTGGCCCGGGGTTGTGGTGTGATAGGGGTGAATGGGGGATAATCCCACACAGGAGTTTTGAACAATGTCTGGTTTACATTTGGCTGGATAACTCCACCACCACACGGAGTATGCGGTCGGCGATGGGGTCAAAATGCTTGTATGATTGAGGGCTCTTCGATAGACCTATCGGCGGGTTCTTATTCGACAAATTGAGCGAGTTCGTGGTGAGGTGCTTGATGTTTTGATTCTAAAACAAGAAGTGTAGCAAAGCTTTCCACCTTAGAATATGAATTTCAGAATGAATTATATACAGCAAACTCTTTTAAGAAAAAGTATCAAGCTTTTATAAGAATTCTCTTTTAAAACTCATTACATTTAGAAGAGAAGAATATATTATTTTATAAATATATTAATGAAAATAACTGAGAATGATCTGAGCTTATATATAATGAACTAGAGTTAGCTATATTCTCAAGTTCAATTAAAACTGCTGCAGGGCCTGATTCAATCAATCACTTAATTATTTAAAACATATATTTCTACTTGAAGAAGTGAATATTTTAAGCTCTTTTTCAATCTCTTAAAAAAAGATTATTATTCTGAATGCTGAAGAGAAGCTACTGAAGTAGATTGACTGTGTGACCGTGTCTAAGATCAGGATCAAACTTTACAGTTATTATATTATCTAAAAGCATTACTTCTGATCATGGTTTATGTTCATCACATTGATCTCAAATCACATTATTTCAAATATTAAAGATCTCAGATTCACTTTTCAAATAAAAATCTAGTTCTGAATAAAGAATATATTTGAATTCTTAGTCACATTTTCATTCTGATCTCATTATTGAGAATAACATCAAATGAAATTATGAAATCACTTCTCACTTACATAATATCATAACATAGTGCTCATTTGTTGAAAATTTCATAGAGAGTGTTATCAAATATCATTACTTTTCTGAACACAGATTATAATTCATATAATTTTAATTATAAAAAAAATATAAAATACAAAAAAAAAACAAAAAACAAAAAATAAAACAAAAACAAGAAAAAATCAGAATGAATAAAAAAAAAAAAAAAAAGAGAAAGAAAAAAAAAAAAGAAAAGAAAAATAAAAAAATAAAAAATAAAAATAAAAAAAATCAAGATTACAGAGCTGCAGCACTCTTAAAATACTCACTTTTCAGAGTCTTTACAATGTTTATTATCAACTGTGTATCTCTCACAGTGAGAGTAACACAGCTGTGATAAGTTATTGTCTTAATATTATCTAATAAATAATCAGTATATATCTGTATAAATGTGAATATGTGAATATTTAGAAAATATACACTTAAAAAGTGTGATCAGAGTGAACTCTGCTGTCACTTGAATGATATCAAGAGTAGAACACTGAAATCAATGATTTCTCTCATTGATTTCACAGATAAGATGAGTGAAGATAGTCTTGAGAAATATAAGATTCTCTGACTTCTGATAAAAACAGATCTCACAGAGAGACTCTATTTTCATAATATCAGAGACTGAGTGTTATTAAAAAGTGTTACTTTTATACAATGCATATGTACTTACTGTGATGATTCACTCTCTGCATATATGACTGAGAGTTGTGACTTTCTCATGCTGCATGACTCTCTCTGAGATGCTGACACTGGTTTGCAACTCACATAGTCTCTCAGTTCAGTATGCACTGCATGTATACAGCTCTGCATACTGAGGCTGTATTGGTCATTATGACCTGGCATGGTACTCACTTTTCGCGTGCCATGTTTCATTTGAGAGAGGGAAAAAGAAAGATGTAACTGTGATTTTATTAAGAGAGAATGAATAATTAGTAATATTGAATGTAATTTAGTTCTTCTATATTTAAAATTTAATTAGTCTATACTCTTCAATTTGAGAGTTTCTAAGAGTGTTTTAATAGTTTTCATATCAGCTTGAACTTAGTGATGAGTTGAAGAAGAAGAGAAAAGAGAGAAGAAAGAAATGAGAATAACTTATCTTTATAATATGAAAACAGAGAATCACTGTAATCATTCTTTCTAGTAATAAAGATCTGTTTTCTGCATGTATCTCTGATATAGATTATATAATAACTGTATACAAAGAATATCAACACTGCATGCATTGAATGAAGATGATGTTGCTATGCAATACTATAGCTGTTTTCATATATCTCTGAAAGCTGTTAATATTTTCTTTGTCTCTTTATATTTAATAAGTCAGTAATATATTTCAATGCACTCTCTCTTTTATTATCATTATCATCATCATCATCACTATCATCACTATTATTAACATCATCACTATTATTATCATTATTATCATTATCATCATTATCATCATTATCATTATTATTATATCATTTCTGATCATCTCTTCTGCCTTCATCTCTCTTCAATACTTACTGAAATCAATCATGTCATCTCTCTTCAAATATTCTGCGGTTCTGTGAACCATCAAGGCGTGTGAGTGCTGTCACAGATTGAAGAGAGAGAAGAAGAAGACATTTAAGTAAGAGAAGACAGATTGTAAGACATGTTATAATGCCTTGAAGAGACTCTGTAAGAAAGTAGAATAATAACAATTTTAAGTAACACTTCTGATAGATTTAGACTGAACTAAGTATAGAAATAATGTGAATGACACTGTCTGTGAGAGATTGAAGAAGAAGATAGTGAAGAGTCTTATATAGTAGTAGTAAAATCAGAAGAAGTTCTGAGAATGATTTGAGTTCAAGATAAAGAGAGAGAGAGAGAAGAAGAGTGTTACTATAAATAAGCAGTAGTAGAAGAAGATTGAGAAGATGTTGAAGTAAGAGATAAAGAAGTTAAAATTGATAAGTTTTTATTTATTAAGAGATAATAATTTTTGATAATACTTCTATTCATTAATTGAGTAGCAGAAGCTGACAGAGAAGGAGAGAATTGAGGCCTTGTTCAGATCTTAAATGCACTTCATGATTCAGAATATTGAGAAGACAGTTCTGCTCTCTAGACATGTCAATCTGCTTACTGCTGAGATGGAACCTGAGACAGCAGATCAGGAAATGCAGGATTTTGAGGCACAGATTGACCTGGCTGAGAGAGAGTAGTAAGAACCCTTCTCTGAGAAGACAGCAGAGAGAGATTTTGAGATGATTATCATCTCAGATAAGAAGAAGAAGAAGAAGAAGAAGAATAAGAAGTGAATTATAAAGAATGATAAGAAGAATGAGAAAGAGAAGAAGTAGATTTTTTTCTTTTTATATTAGTTAGTTGTAAGTTTAAGTTCATAATTATTAATAATTAAAATTGATTTTGAGTTTTTAAAAATTATTGTACAAGTTGTAATCAAGTCAGGAATAATATATATATATATATATATTTAACTATTATGATTTACAAATCATTATAATGTATAAGTATCAACATTTTTCAACATTGATATTCATAATATTAATATATTTTTAATAATATTATCTGATAATGTAATTTGATAACACTCTCTTTCATAATATTAATATATTTTAAGAAATATGATAGAGATTAATCAAGATTGTTTATTTACTTTTATACATTAATAATATTCAATCTGAGTTAGTACTAAAATTATAACTAAGCTAAGAAATAAGATTATTTTCTCTTATATTAATTCTTCTTACACACATCAGTGATCAGTTATTGAAAATAAATTATCATCTTTCTTAAATTATTATCATGTCTTCTGAATTCACTTCTTTCACTTCTTTTACTTCTATTGAAGATTCATAAACTCTTCAAGAAATCACTGTAAATCACAAAGTCTATGTTGTTTACAATTCAACACAGAATGCTCTCTTTTAATTATAATAAATGATTACTTCATTCTTCACATCTGATTTCAGGTCATGAAATTTATGAAAAACTCAACACAAACACTGAGATGAACTATGAAATAATTATCAACAGATTATATTGCAGATTACTGAAGAGTTATCTCTCTACTACAATCACTGTAACTTTATTCAGAAATATTCATCATGAACTGATTATGACTCTGAAGAAATTTTCTGACATCTGAACTTATCAGAATACAGATAATAAAAGAAAAATAATCAGAAAATTACTACTGAGCTGGTAAGTTACTCTATCAGATAATGATTTTTGATAACACTAACTTTCTAATTTGAAGAAAATTATGCAAAAATAATCATGTATTGATACTCTGATTTCACAACTCTCATCTGATAACTTCTGTGAACAATTACTTTGTATATGTATATCTCTGAATCTTTCTCTTTGATCAATTGAAAACCCCGAATTCTGAACACTTCTTCAAATGCTTAATTCAAATCTTTATATTCTATATTGATTCTGTCTTCAGTTCAATCTTGAGATACACTACAAAGTTAATATACAACATCTAGAATCAGAGTTGAAGAATCATTGAAGAGTGTCTCTCACAGTGAATGTATGAACTAGTACAAACAATCTTGCATTTATAAGAGTTATATGTTATTACAGTGATGAGAACTGAACTTATTAAGAGACATTAATTGAATTTGAATCATTGATTAGTAGTCATATTAGAGATTATATAACAGAGGTATTAATAACTGTGATTAAAAATGACTATTGAGATATTAGTCTCAGTCTTCTTACAATTATAACTGATAATGCTGTGAATAACTATACTATGATGAAGAGCTTAGAGTAAAAATTGACTTTGCATTTCTGAAATAATAAACAAGGTCATATTCTCTGTATTACTCATGTGGTTCAACTTGTGATGTAAACACTGATAAAGAATCTTAATATTCAGATGAAGAATAATGAGATAACTGATTCTTGAAATGAGAATAAGATGAAAGTGATTACTCAAGTAACTTTTGCATTCACTTTATAAAAGATAATGTTTTTTGACAACACTTTTTAATATTGCTTTTTAATAACACTTTTTGATAACACTTTTTAATAACACTACTGTTAATTTTGAATAGATTGACTAATAATTTAAATATCACAGATTTGAAACATTACTAATGTAATTTATATCTCCTCTAAATAATAACAACAATTTCATGATATTCAATAAATAAACAAATCAGTCATATCACTGAATATGATACAGAATATTAGAATATGATGAGATTCAACATATGAGATAACTATTTAAACTCTTCAATTATGTCAGATGATTGATCATTGAGTGCAACACTCTGATTAGAAAAAGATTCAGATATTGAAACTTTCTGATATAAAGTGAACTCAGTTGAAATATGTGATTGATTTACTGTTTCAGTTTTATAAGATAACAAAGACAGTCTCAATCACTTGTACATCAATACTGCAGTCAGTCTGATGAGTGTATAACAGTTTATTTACTCATCTTAAGAAGCAGTTGAATCACTCAAAAAGAAATTCAGTCTGAGATGATGCTATAGTGCAGGCTATTATTGCTACAAGGAATAAACTGGCATATTACTACAGCAAAACTGAACAATCTTTTACAGAGTACTATACTGTAGCAGCTCTACTAGATCTCTTATGTTGAGTTAATATCTACACTTCTCAAGATTGAACAGAGGAGGAATAAGACTTATATATTAAATTAGTCTGAGACTACTACAATACCAACTATCAGAGATTTGAATAAGTAGATGTTTGAGATGTGAAGACAGTGATATACAATTCCCTAGTCAGCTATGATCTTGATAACACTTCATATCTCATAGAACTATAATACTAACTTTGAAACAGAACTTGCATACATTGATTACAACTGAAAATCAGACAAAACTACATACTTATAAAACTGAATTTGACTGCTATCTTCAAGATGATCTGATGAATTTACATATCAAATCAATTCTAGAGTTATGAAAAATTGTTGAGAGTACATATTCAACTGTTACACTAATGATGTGTGATATCCTGACAATTTCATTGACAGAGGTGAGAATGAAGTGAAAGTTCAACTCAAGTCAAGGTATTTATCACTATTGCTGAGAACAATTACAAGAAGAAATAATCAAGAAACTCATGATTATAAAACATAGAATTATCAGACAGTTTAATATCTCTGATCACAGTATATCAGAGAAGTGTAGTTTTCATAAGAAAGTAAAGAATAAACTTACACAAGAATGTATTTAGTTGTTTCATGAGTGTTATTAATAATCATTACTAAATTCTGATTATATAAGCAATCACTGAATGAACTGAATGAGACTGATTTTAATCTTCAGTCTCAGTCTCATTGTGATTTTGAAAGAATGATCATCTTTCACAGTTTATTCTGAGAAATTACTCTCATTTCACTGTTCTTGAATTAAATCTGGTCATTTTTCACATCATTTCTCTCAGAAATGGTCCATTTTCAGATTTTTTTAAGGCTTGGTCCTGGTGGGACTCATGCCAAGAAATGTATGAGACCAGATCAAACGGGATCAAATATGAAATTCATGGTCCGCCGGCCAGTCTATA